GCCTCAAGAGCCGAGTCTCTTAACCACTTCAGCCATGGCACGGTGTACAAAAGTGGATCCATGCCGGTCGTGATATCCACCCCACCCCTGCATGGCTGTAGAGTCCTTCACCTCACACCCACACACACACTACACCACACAAGGCATCCGCCACACAGGCAGTAGTTGCACACTCCACTCTCATCCAGCACAACTGCTTATCCAACGGTTTTATCCACGGGCCACCACATCCAGGTATAATTTCCGGGCTGGTTACCCGGTTGAAGTACAGTCTGTACTTTATCAGCCACAGGACCTCCTCCGTGCAAGCACGGATTCAAACCGGTGCCCTTAGCCTCAAGAGCCGAGTCTCTTAACCACTACAGTCAATCCTCCATTATGCAGGAGTAATCAATGCTGGTCAGGGTTCCTTCGGCCAGACGGAAGGAAGCGTGAGTGTGTTTCATGATGTAATATTTTATTCCGACTTGCCGGTGGAAAAGGAACCGGACTGATGCTCCCCAGAATGGAAGTGTAGCCAGGCCCATAAGGACCTGTTTAAGAGGAAAAATCAAATAAAATAAAGAGGAGAGAAGATGAGGAATTCTGAAGTGACCCTCAGCCAAAAGCTGGTCGCATTCCAATCCTAGAAAAAAGAAAAAAATTAAAATTCAGAATTTTTTCATGGTAACCCCGGACCCGGACATCGGACACTTCTGGACTGTCTTCCGGACCAGTGTCTGGACCGGTCCGGACTGTCCGGTGATCCGGACATCACCAGACGCCGGACAGTCCGGACCGGTCCCCGGGGTGCAAGGTGGGGGTTGGGTGGGGGTGTTGGCAGGCACTTACCTGCTTTGCACTCTGTAGTTCAGGCAGCAGAGCACGTGTCTTGCAGCAAATCAACCAGCACATTTAACTAGCAGACRTGCAGAGTTGCAAACAGTSCAAASCAGGCACAAGACTAAAGAAACAGAGAATTTTTTTTTGAAAAAAGTATGATTAACTTTTTGAACTTTGAACTTTGGATTTAGTAATTTAAGTTCATAACTTCATATATAACTTAAAAGTTCGAACGTTGCAGTTCAATTCAGAACGTCAGAGTCTTCAGACTGGTAGCACTGTCAGTGCT